GTAATCTGGCTTCACACCCTTATTTCACGAGATCTAAAGGAAGTATCGCCAGGACCTCAGAAAGTCATCTACCCATCATTGAGCCCGAGGATAGCCCGGTATCGGCTATCCCACAGTCAGAGTCAGCAATTGCTGAGGAAAATAGAAGGATGTGATGCCCTATGATAGAAATATGGGACGCCTAGTCCAACGGCAGGGAACCACCCAGTACTATCCCTGGATTCCCTGAATTACTCCCCAGGACGGGAGGAACCACCAATGTCCCTATCCCAGTGACCAACCCATTCATCCCGTTTGAGTACCCCACCATGTCAACCAATTTCGCCGGTATGCCTTCTGAGGTTTTCCCCCAGGCACCATCTTCAGGAATATCATCTACAGTGTTCATGCACCACCGGCCTCTAGCATGGCACAACCAACACTGCCGCGACAAACCTTTGAACCATCAACTTTTACTTTCCAAGCTCCCCAATTCCAATTGGACACCGCTCGGGTTACCCTAAATTCCTATCCTCAGCACCCACAATTTGAGTCTCCCGTAGAACATGAGAAAGCGGTGAGGAATCCTGATCAAGAGGAGATAGCACGAAAAATAAAAAGCATTGAGTAAAGACTCAAGAATATACAAGGTCTGAGTGGCCAAAAGAGCGTGTCATATGCTGATCTGTGCATGTTCCCTCACGTGCATTTACCTGTGGGCTTTAAGATGCCAAAGCTTGAAAGATATGACGAGCATTGAGACCCGATTGCTCACTTAAAGCGATACTGTAACCGGCTGAGGGGCGCTGGTCGAAAAGAGGAGTTGTTAATGGCCTACTTTGGAGAGAGCCTCACCGGAATTTCTTCTGAATGGTATATGGACCAAGACATCTCCCATTGGCATATATGGGATGAACTGGCTCCGGATTTTGTAAGGCAATTCCAATACAATGTTGATATAGCCCCGGACAGAAATTCTTTGACCAACCTCAAAAAGAAAGCCTTGGAAAGCTTCCGAGAATACACTATCAAATGATGTGAACAAGCGACCAGGGTAAAAACCCTGATGGATGAGACCGAGATGGTTAGTGTCTTCTTACAGGCCTAAAGGGCCGATTATTTCCAAAACAAGATGTCTGCCATAGGCAAACCGTTCGCAGAGGCCATCAAAATTGGAGAAATGGTAGAGAACGGCCTAAAAACAAGCCGCATATTTTGTCAATTAGCTCTAAGAAGCACTTCCCAAGCCATTCAGAGCGGCTAGGGAGGTTTAGCAAGCTGGAAGAAAAAGGAATAGGGAGCTATGATGGCTTCGAGCTTAAGAAACTCTCAGCGACCCCAGGATTATTCTGGTCCACCTTCCAGGGCCCCGCAACATTATTACCCCCACCAGGATGCAGCTTATGCTATGGCCCTTCATCCTTCCCGGCCACAACAATATTACAATCAAAACAGAGCTCCACCTCCAAGAAATAACCCTCATCACCAAGCTTCGTATAATCCTCGTCCACCTCAAAACAATTACCAGTATAACACCCATCCCCGTGAACCACCCAGGAAAACTGACTTCACCCCCATTGGTGAATCTTACTCCAACCTCTTCCAAAAATTAGTCCAAATGGGCCTATTACAACTGGTACCTCCGAACAGATAGAACCCGGAATCTCAATCCTACAGGCCAGGTACTAGGTGCTCTTATCACTCAGGGGCGGAAGGGCATGACACTAAAGATTTTTAGACCCTTAAGAGAGTAGTCGAGAATCTGATAGAACAGAAGCGGGTAGTGTTAAGGGACGAGGAAGTCCCTACTTTGACCAATAACCCGTTACCAGCCTACAACAACGGGCCGGTCATCGAGATGATCTACAAAGACAAAGAATTCGACCCAGCATTAAAAGCTATAATTTCCATTGTTGACTCCGAAAAGAAACCCAAAACGGTGGCAAAACAAGTCCGTGATGAGAAAAAGATGAATTCCACTCCCCAAAATGAAGAAAAGGACGGGGAAGCAAAGACAGGGGCAGCACCTGCCAAAAAGGCCATTCTCTACGTTCCAAGAGCCCCTAGAAAGGGGAAGCTCATGTTAAGCCCTCCCAAGAGATTGGAGCAGAGGAAAACCATGCCGAATCTGCCAAAAATGTATGTACCGAAAGGGACTTACGTAGCACGGAGGCCAGTCATTCCACCTAGGCTAGATGAGCCTTTGATCATTAGCCACATGCTACAAAATCCCATAAAAGACACTAATGCCGTCCTTTGGAACTACAATCAGACAATTGTCCGATATAAAGGGAAGGAAGTTAGGGGGAAGTGAATGAAACAAACCAATCTGGGAAGTATCATAACCCAGAAGAATTGAACAAAACCAAGAAGAAGCATTTCCCCCTCAAAAAGCCTGTAGATACTGAAGAAGCGGAGGAATTCTTCCGGAAGATGAAAACCTCGGAGTATGCTGTAATTGATGAACTGAGAAAAGCCCCTTCCCAGGTTTCACTCTTGTCTCTACTGATGAGCTCAAACGAACACCAAAAGGTGCTTCTAAAGACGCCGAATGAGGCGTATGTTCCAATTGAGACCACGGTTGAACAGTTAGAAAGAATGGCAGAGCGATTTTTTGAGGTCAACCGAACCTCCTTCAGCCGAAACGATTTGCCTCCCAAAGGAGCCGCCCATAACAAGGCCCTTCACTTGACTGTCAAGTGTGAGGGATATTATGTGAAAAGGATCATGTTGGACAGCGGGTTCGAAGTCGATATTTGCTCTCTATCAACATTGTAGAGGATGGAAATTGGGACTGAAAGGATCAAACTAAACAATATTTGCGTGTGTGCTTTCGATGGTGTCAAGAGGGACACGATAGGGGAGATTGACTTAATCCTAACCATTGGCCCCGTAGATTTTGATGTAACATTCCAAGTTTTGGACATGGACACTTCCTATAACTTTCTGTTAGGAAGACCATGGATCCATGCAGTGGGAGCCGTGCCCTCTACTCTCCATCAAATGGTCAAGTTTGAACATGAGAACCAAGAAATAGTGGTCCATGGAGAAGATGAACAGTCAATCTATAGGGACCTGGCAGTCCCGTACCTCGAGGAAAGAGAGGGAAGTGAGCACATCGTCTATCAAGCCTTTGAAATTGTGCTCGCCGACCAGTGCGAGGAAGGAATCCCATGCCCTCAACCTTGTTTATCAAGAGCATCAATCATGGTCGCCAGCAAAATGATCAGACATGGGTACAAGCCTGGAAAAGGGCTCAGGGTATCCTTACAGGGCATCACAGAACCCATCACCTTGGCTGCCAACAAGAAATTCTTTGGCATAGGTTTCCAACCCACCAATGCCGACGAAAAATGGGCCGATAAACGTAAGAAAGATGGGTGGGTTTTGCCTCAGCCAATCCCGCACCTCGCCAAATCGTTTGTTAAGCCAAGATATATAGAAGAAGAAGAAGAGGCCTTCACGGCTGACGAAATTTAGGATATCTGTGAAGCAATGAGACAAATGCTCTATGAAGTCCACATGGTCCAACCGGGTGAAGGCTCGAGCACTACTGAGGTGCAATACATGGGTCCTAATGCTAAATTGCAAAACTGGCAGGCTACTCCATCCCAGTTAGGCGGGAATCCCGGTAGTTCAGTCTTGCCATCTTTTCTGCATTTCGAGTTATTTCAGGGTGTAACTCGAATGTTTTTAGTTTTTGTTGTCTTTTTAAATTTCGATGTAAACCCTCATATCTTCAAATTCAATGAAATGAAATCAATATTTCATCGTCTATGAATCTTTTCCTGTTATTCTTTCTGATTTTGCTATTTTTCTTATCTTTCTCTTTTCAGTTCTAATAATGCGGACTTAAATAACATGACATGTTTGTGGACTTCATGCCCAGATCCTAAAACGTTGTCTAACTGTGAAGTAATGAATCAAGAACCAAAATATGATGAAGATGAGGCTTTTAGGGAAATAAATCGAGAATTGAAACAATTTGAGAATAAGCCTAAGCCAAACCTAAATGAAACCGAGCCAGTTAATTTGAGAAATTCAGAAGAGGTCAGGGAGACCATGATAAGCATTCACGCCGAGGAAAAAACTAGAGATGCATTGATCCAACTCTTGTTTAAATTTAAAGACGTGTTTGTATGGTCTTATGACGATGTGCCAGGACTAAGTATCAATCTAGTGGTACACAAGTTGCTGACTTATCCCGGTTGTCTACCTATCCAACAAAAGCAAAGAAAATTCAAAACAGACATCAGCGATAAGATTAAAGAAGAGGTTGCCAAACAATTAAAAGTTGGTGTGATCCGAGTAGTCCGATACACCACGTGGTTGGCCAATGTAGTCCCAATACCAAAGAAAGATGGGATGATCCGAGTATGTTGATTATCGGGATTTGAACAAAGAAAGCCCTAAGGACAACTTCCCATTACCCAACATCCACATCCTTGTCGACAATTATGCCAAACATGAGATACAATCTTTTGTGGATTGTTATGCTGGGTATCACCAAGTCCTAATGGATGAAGAAGATGCAGAAAAGAAAACTTTCACCACACCATGGGGGACTTATTGTTACAGGGTCATGCCATTCAGTCTAAAGAACGCCGGGGCAACTTACATGAGGGCTATGACTGCCATTTTTCACGACATGATGCACCAGGAAATTGAGGTGTATGTGGATGACATGATCAATAAGTCCAGAACACAGGAAGACCATGTGAAGGATTTAAGAAAGTTCTTTGAGTGCCTGAGCAGGTATGATTTGAAATTGAATCCGGCTAAATGCGCATTCGGAGTTCCATCTAGGAAGCTTTTGGGGTTTATAGTCAGTCGGAGGGGTATTGAGTTGGATCCAACAAAGATAAAATCCATCCGAGATCTGCCACCTCCGTAAACCAAGAAAGAGGTCATGAGCTTTCTAGGAAGGTTGAATTACATCAGTAGGTTCATCACTCAGCTTACTACCATGTGTGAGCCCATCTTTAAGCTGCTAAAGAAAGGCGCAACGATTAAATGGACGGATGAGTGTCAAGAAGCTTTTGACAAAATCAAAGAATATTTGTCAAATCTGCTGGTGTTGGTTCCGCCTGAGCCTGGAAGACCTTTGTTCTGCACTAGCTACCTTAGCTGCAATGCTGCCGTATCCGGGAAACGTCCATATTGACTTGTTGGAGATTCAAATCCGAGAAAGACATGGTTATTGCAACACGGTTGAAGTAGAACCAAATGACCAGCCATGGTATCATGATATTAAAAGGTTCTTGAAAACAAAGGAATACCCTGAGCAGGCCAATGGAGACCAAAAGAGAACCATTAGAAGGCTTGCCAGCAGTTTCTTCTTAAGCGGAGAAGTGTTGTATAAGAGAACTCCAGATCTGAATCTTTTAAGGCGTGTGGATGCCAAAGAAGCTGAAAAGATCATGAATGAAGTGCATTCAGGAGTATGCGGGCCCCACATGAACGGATATGTCCTGGCAAAGAAAATCCTACGGGCAGGTTATTAATGGATGACCATGGAAAAGGATTGCTTCAAGTTTGTCAGGAAGTGTCATCAGTGTCAGATACACGGTGACCTGATTCATGCACCGACTTCAGAGTTGCATCCTATGTCAGCACCTTGGCCGTTTGTTTCTTGGGGTATGGATGTCATTGGGCCGATCGAGCTGAAAGCCTCAAATGGGCACAGGTTCATCTTGGTTGCCATTGATTACTTCACAAAATGGGTCGAATCGATCACTTTTAAAGCCATCACCAAGAAAGTAGTGGTGGACTTCATACATTCCAACATTATCTATCGTTTTGGTATTCCAAAAACCATCACTACCAACAATGCCGCAAATCTAAACAGTCATCTGATGAGGGAGGTATGCGAACAGTTTAAAATTACGGTTCAAGTCCCCCAAAGATGAAACTGGGGCAGAATTTATAGTGGTTTGGCGGCGCTTTCGCCTGAAAGGTTCCAAGGTTGTAATGCGATTCAAATTCTACCCAAATCATGTTCAAGTACTTCCGATCAATCGGTAAAGATGTCCAAAATTGGAGGATACAGTTACTCAGATCTGATACAACCCAAATGAGAGAAATAAAATGAGAGATTCTTATCGGTGAAAACCCACACGGGCACCGTGAGGCGATGGTAAGCAAATAAATTGAAAATGAGAGAGCCTCATTAGTGAAAACTCGCAAAGAGCACTACAAGGCGATTGTGAGAAGAGAAATGAGAGAGGTTAGCTGGTGAAAACCTGCAAAGGGCACCACTGATCAAAAAAAGGATAATTGGTCGCTGACATGGAGACAGTCCTGGGCAAGGTTTCTCAATCTTGAAGTATAAGTTATGGTGGATTTCTGAGAGTTGGACGGTTCGCACAGATCAGGCATCCAGTCCAAGAGGCATGTAATGTTCATTGAAGTCCGCATACACTCCAGATAAGTACTTTTTTCCCTTTTCCGAAAGGGATACCTCTTGTCTATATTCTTTTATCCATTCCGTCGTTTATTTCCTTTCAATCCCTTTCGGTCTAATTCTATTCTAAATTGAGACAAAGAAAGGATGGCAAGACCGATCTATAAGGTTCTCATTTGATACAAGTTAGTATACAAAAAGCGCCCAGCCTCGGCAGGTGCATCGAGTCGACCTCGACCGACCATGATAGCTGATGCTTCGAAATCAAGAATTCCCGAAAGGAAAGGGATTAAAGTCAAAGTGCCACAAAGACAAAATAAAGTTAAAGAAGGTTAAGTTCCGCGTGATTAACCGTCCTGGTAAGATTTTGGAAAAGACAAGATCTCTAGGGTTAGAAATGAAACCAATCCCCAGCGAGCCAGCAAGCAATCAAAATCTTCATCCAAAAGACGGGACAAGATCGAGTGACCAAATAATCAAGGCCACAAAACCAACCACCATTTCAAACTGACAAATTGTTCTTTGTTGAAGAAAACAAGAAATAGGCGCAACCCGAAAGCAACATTGCAAAAGCAGGGGCAACCCAAGGGAAAATCGCGCAAAGGCTGGAAACAGCTTTGCAACAACAGCTTCAAAAGGGAAGTCTCCTCCAAAATTCTTTCCCGCATTCACTCATCCTTTGAAAAATAAAGGAAGAAAAGAAGAAATAATGTTGAAAATAATTCAAAACTACGGTCTCTGATCCCTAGTTGATGATTTTCCAACATAGGGTCCCACTCCCTAGTTGATGCCAGCATAACCTGATGACTTTCCAATATAGAGTCCCACTCCCTAGTTGATGCCAGCATAACCTGATGATTTTCCAACATAAGATCACACTCTCTAGTTGATGCCGGCATAACCTGATGACTTTTCAACATAGGGTCCCACTCCCTAGTTGATGCCGGCATAACTTGATGATTTTCCAACATGGGATCCCATTCCCTAGTTAATGCCGGCATAACCTGATGACTTTCCAACATAGGGTCCCACTCCCTAGTTAATGCCAGCATAACCTGATGACTTTCCAATATAGGGTCCCACTCCCTAGTTGATGCCAGCATAACCTGATGACTTTCCAACATAGGGTCCCACTCCCTAGTTGATGCCAGCATAACCTGATGACTTTCCAACATAGGGTCCCACTCCCTAGTTGGCGCCAGCATAACCTGATAACTTTCCAACATAGGGTCCCACTCCCTAGTTGACGCCAGCATAACCTGATAACTTTCCAACATAGGGTCCCACTCCCTAGTTGACGCCAGCATAACCTGAAGACTTTTCGACATAGGATCTCCACTCCCTAGTTAATGCCAACATAGGATCCCACTCCCTAGTTGATACCAGCATAACCTAGTGATTTTTTCCAACATAGGGTCTCCAATCCCTAGTTGATTTTACTTTTAAGACATAGGGTCTCCACTCCCTAGTCTATGTTTACTCCAGGTACACCATTCCCGTCTTTTATAGCTTTCGATAATAAAGTAGTATAGAATTTTGTTACAATAACTCACGAAAATTTTCTAGTGAAAACTAGAGCAGAAAATTTCGTTTGTTTATTTTGATTCCTGAGCAGGTTATACTTTAAAGTACTGGGTTCGAGACGACCAAAAGAAGAGGTCTCAATCCGGAATAAAGAAAAAAAGAAAAAAGAAAAACCCGAAGTACATAAGCGGAGAAGATATGGGCTGCTCAAGACGAGATTGAAGTCCCAAGTTTTGCATGTCCCATCTTGATCCGAAAAGATGAAGAAGATTGAACCAGCACCTGCAGCTAACAAGCATCAAGATTCAGATCAGAGTCTGCATAATTAGCCAGCCAAGACTCAAGACCAAGCTTCGGAAAATTTACAGATAGGAATCTTGTAACTTGTAGCTGATAGGCTTAGTTAGTTTTCTTCATTTGTTACTTTGGTGTAATAAGGAGTTCAGCAGCAACAATAGTGAAATCACAGTTTTCTGGTAGTCCCAGCTACCAAAAATTCCAGAACTACACTAACCTGATTCCTTTATAGCCAAGGATATGTACGAGAAGAGCTGGACTTGACAGTCTCCGCAGGTGCGGAGAAATTGTGCGCATCAGTGGCTCCGCAGAAGCGGATTTTTGGTGCGTAGAAGCGAGAGGAAGCGCAGGTGCGGTTGGACATGCGCACCTGCGGTCGCGCAGATGTGTCTAATTATGCGCAGGTGCGGTCACGCCTGGGCAGAAAAGAGAAATTCGAGGGTTGGTTTCATTCTTCGTTTTTGGACTTGAGAGCTCGGAATTTGGCGATTTTTCGATGAATTTTCAGAGGAAACTTTGGGGTAATGATTCCTAACTCATTTTTGGTTGTATTCCATTAATCTATAGTTGTTTTATTCATTTAGTTTCGGATTTTTAGGGTTGAAATTGGGAAAAAATGGAAGAACTTCTTCTATGAAGATTTCGAGTTTTGCAAGGGGATTTGTGGTCGGATTTGAGTAATTCTTATATGGTTGGACTTGTGAGTGAATAGATGTTCATATTTTGTGATTTTTACCCGATTTCGATAAGTGGGCCCCACGGGCGATGTTGAGTTAATTTCAGAATTTTCGTTAAAATGTTGATTTCGTTAATTAGATGAGTCTATTATGGTTGTAATTATGATATGTAATTTTTTTTGGTTAGATTTGGGCCATCCAGAGCCAGATATTCGTGGAAGGGGCGTTCTTACGGATTTATTGAGCTTGACTCGAGGTAAGTATCTTGCCTAACCTTGTGTGGGGGAACTACCCCTTAGGATTTGAGTTATCTATGTTGATTGTAGTCTGTGTACGCGAGGTGACGAGTGCGTGCTCGGACCTATTTGTGGAAAGTTGGCCTTTTAGGGTTCTTATGTCCTTATATTCACTGTGTATGATGTTGTTTTTGATACGTTTGAATTCCTATTTGCTAATTTCACCTCTACATGCTTTGACTAGAGATAATTACTTTAGGATTCACTCTTACTGTCTATTTG